AATAGGTGGAAATGGAAAAGGTGGCGGAAATGTTCTATTTTTTTCCAATTTTGCGTACAGAAATGATAAAGCACTATTGACTTTGTCAATATCAAAAATAGGCTTATTTTGATGTAAGGCATGTTACAGTGTTAAAATTTTGGTGTTGGTATTAAATTTTACATTTTATTGTAAATCTATAAACATATTTTTAATGATGTTTGGTTCAAGGTCCAATAATTTTTCTGACAAAAACTCAGTTGTCTTCAATAATTCTATTAAGGACTCATAAAGAATTAAGTGAATAATGAATAAAGTGACAATGACATCTGGGATGCATCAATAGTATCATGGACTAACACTTGACAGTACAACTGTTTTTTGCACAATAGGAATGAGCCTTTTTTTCTATTGTAAAAATCTCTCATGTAATAGTTGTATGTGCTTGGTGTGTTCCTGATAGCTGTTCAAAGGGATCATTTCCCTCAACTTCAGAGCTATTCTTGGCAGTATTAATACATATACCTGAGAAAAGAAGTTAAGGAAACATTTACTAATTTACACAAAGTTAATTACATTGATGTAATTTAGTGATCAGAAATATGAATCATTAGGGTAGAGTGTTTATGCTATGTCCATCAGAGCATAGTTACTATGATCAGAGTGGAATAACTTGCATCAATAATGTACTGCAGTTTACATTTAATTGTGAAAGGTTTTTGATAGTTGAAATTACTTACTCTTTATGATATTATTTTATTCTGAACCAACAAATACTGTAAGTGAATACTTGTTCTTATTTGCAAATGGAGATGTCTTAGTCAGCTGTTGTATCATTTAAGTTAAAAGGCCTTTTAAACTTAAAGCTTCATTATGAATATTAATCTTAATGTAAATAGTTCTTGTAATTAGACTCCCTGTTTTGGTTGATATATACTCAAGAGGTTGATTTAACCCACAAACGGGTTTATCCAGTTTGTATTTGTTTTTCGCAGTTATAAGTCATTTTTTCTAGCATCTTTTGGTTTGCTTTATGATTGTCATTGATCGAATTGACATTCGTCATTACAATCGTTATCGAGCGTGGAATTATCCTGTTATTCGGACATAAAGATTGGACTAAATTGTGAAAAACACTTAAAAAACGTTGATCATCATAGTTAATGCTGTAGGATGAAATCTGTGATAGATAAAGAAAGATAAAAAATATAAAAAACAAAGTTTACTTCACTTACCAGCGACGAAGTTGAGCACGTGGAAAATCTTGTCTCCTGAGCCAGCATTTTTCTTTGTCAGCGTCGTTGGCTAGTTGCCATGCCAATGCTACGTCATGGTGGAGACATGTCAATCTCGTACCCAGCACCCTTGTCCCTCTTACTGCACATGCTCGACGAAAAACAAGAAAAAAAACGTTTTTCGTCAAGCCTGTGAGCCTGCGAGTAAGAGGGACAGTGGCGCTGGGTACGAGATTGGAGACATGTGTGATAACGATGCTAACTGCGCATATTCATTCACACGAGATCATACGATTGGATACTATTCAGATTCGAAAACCCACATCAAAGAACAAGTTCAAGAATCCTTGTATATATACTGTGGTTTTTCATTACAATTGATATTTGATGTGCTGTGTCTTTGTTGCTACTAAAATTTTAATAGGGCAGGAATGGTGAATTACAGGGGGGACAGTTTGCAATTGAAGGGGCGGATACGAAACCGACGTAAGTGACGATTTAGGGTATTTTTGACATTTTCGAAAAATTAAAAAAACATCATTAAAATCGCTTATTTTAAGTCTAAATAACCTTATTTAGTACTTATTTCTCCTGATTTCTTTCCAAAAAGGGCAAAAAAGGACCCATAGTTACCGACTTCTTTGGCTNTTTAAGTGATTTTATACAAACTTCAAAGTGTGCATTACGACTTCAACACGGACGGCAAAGTGTGTAATTCATTGTTATCGCTTTGAAAATTCTTTATCGACGTAAAAAAGGCTGTTAAGATGCTCTTATTGTTTCAAATACGAATAAAGACAGCTCTGGAATTCATGTTATCCTAGATTACAATCACAGTTCTCGTGGAAAACACCAAACACGAACATGAATCACACCTCAAAACAAAATGGAGGTCGGCCAAACAACAAATACCTCGCATACCATCAAATCGCTTCGAACGTCTCTACAAAAGCTTAAAATCAATATAATCATGTGTTGTATTCACAAAAACAACATTTCTTGGTAGAATTCATTCTATATATGGAAAACATTACTTAGAAACTTATAATTTATTCTAAACCCTTGATTGAATTGATGATTGAAGCGATTTTTTGTCAATTTTTTCGAAAATTTCAAAAATACCCTAAATCGTCACTTACATCGTTTTCGCATCCGCCCCTTCAATTGCAGGGGGTGCAGTTGTTTGGGTTGTATTTAGACCTTCAAATCACGTGTGTTACTTACGGACTTACAAACCGATAACAAAGTGGTTACCCGTCTTATAGACGGAGTAACCACAAAAATTATTGTACAATAAAATTTATTTTTTTTTTAATTGGAGTTCGCACAACCAATCAAAGAGTTCTGGGAGGTGGAATTATAACATTTAAGTTATAAAATAAAGAAGAAAAAAATTTATGTAAACCTGAAAACAAACCTTGGGACATTGTTTACACCATGCATATAGCTTGCTTTCAATGGTTGTTGAAACTGGCACACCACGCTTAAAAAGTTCCCTCCATTCCAGCAACACCTCTAATCCAAGAAAAATCTTGTCGCAGATACATGTATTGAATAGACCTGAATTAAATATAATAGTAAATTATCAAAAAAAGTAAGATCATTAAAATGATTAAAAAACTAGTTAATATATCTTTTCCATTTTCTAATTCCAATTCTATATGTACTTCTGCAATTTATGAACAACTTAGAAGTTTGTTGCATTCTGGTAGAACCATTAAGGTTATTGAGCAATATAAGGATTTTGCAAATAATGTCAATATGTAAATTAGCTTGTTTGGTGTAAAGAACATATTGTCATTGTCTATGCACAACATAGTTATTACATACCTATTTCTACAGGCTATATTTGGTGAAGAGCCTTGCAATCAGAATTTTTGCAAGACTTCACTTTAATGGAGCACTTTCGAAAAGGGTTTCTCCATTAGTCATCATTACAGAATCTCCTTTACTTCCAGGATGTCGTTTTGGATCACCAAGAACATTATTGCACTGACTGCAAATGGAGTAATCAGGCTGAAAAACTAATGGCCAGCCACCCTAGAGAAATTAAGCAAAACCAATTGCTTGAGTGTTACTTTTCAATAATTTCTTTGTTAAAAGGAGGAACAGGTAGTGTTGATATCTTCATGAAATTTAAATGAAATTGAGTGAAAACACAAGGAAAGTTTGTTTTAAAACTGTTTGTTTTCAATGGGTGCTATGTTTGGTTGATAAAGTTCTTGGTGCTGTACAATGGATTTTTTTCGCACATAACTATCTTTTTACCTCCTTAATCCCCAAAAGTGTTGAGGAATCACACTTTCTGGCATGATCCAACCATTCAATGGGTATTTCATACGGTATCGTCCGCTGGCCATTTGCATTGAGAGTGGCTTGGCGTATGGCATCACAGCTACTTTGGGTTGGGGTTGGATATACCACACTCTCAGTTGATGTTGGTAGGCTGGTGTTTCCAATAGAAGGATTGTTTGTGGACATACGTGTTGCACACAATAGCATATGCTTATGGATGCATAGCTTGGTATATTTGTTGCTTTCCAGAACCTTGTCTTGATAGTGTTTTGCAGCCTTTTGCCATGCACCTATATGAGTCAGCATCCAATTGGATTACATGGGTATATCTGATTGGGGAAGAGGCACTTGCTGGTCCACAAACAGCAAAAACATTGGTGGCAACTTGGACTACTGATGGAAACCCTATATTGCTTGTGTTATTCCTTATGTCATCTTTGGTACTCATATCACAAGGATACTTTTCCAAAGTGTCATCATCAATATACCAATGATTAATTTCATTGCAACTTTTTGACAGCAACATAATGTGCTGACATGAAAATGATGACAAATTTGTTGCGTTGTCGTTTGTTGTTATGCCTAGCATCTTTGCAATTTTGATGATGACAAAAACTGCTTCTGTCAGAAGTTACTACAAAAAATCTGTCCCCCCTTGGACTGGTTTTCACCGAGTAAATACTAGTTCCCTGTATTTTTACCACAAATACACAGTCAGGGTTATCTAATTTTGTTTTCTTTGGGTTAGGTACATGATAGCCACCAAGTTCATAATCACATTGGCAAGTTTTTGGCTTCCATGCCGTACTATATGAGGCGTCGCAATTTGGGCATGACCACTTGGCTCTTTTTGTCCAATTGGTGCTATTCTACAAAAAAAGAGAAATAAGAAAAATTTACGGACTGTTAGTGAATAAAATTATTATTATAGTTACTGTAATCAAGCTCGCCAAGATGTACTTTCGCCGAAATAGCAACAATTGTCGTCAGTTTGTTGTTTATAGATTGACCTCGTCACTTAGCACATAATCTATTTCGTGTTGTCAATCTATAAAATAATCTTCATACACCGATATTGGTCTGGAGGACGGTCTCGCCATTCAGGCTCCATTGATAGCGCCATATTTGATCTTATAGACTCACAAATTTTCTTGCTTAAATACAAATGAAATTGATAAAATGAATACTCAGAACTATTCTTCTATGTCTTGATAACATATTGAAAGCCCTACAACGTCTTCACGTTTTGCCACTTTAGTTTTGATATAGTACATTATTTTATAGAGACTGTCTGAAAATGGCGGCCAGGCGGTGAGGGCAAAGTAAACAATTTTATCGTTACTGTAACAAGTCAAATTTTGTTTACTTACCATTTAATTGAGTCATGGAAGTAGGAACGGCAGATTGTAATCCAACTACTAGAAACTTCAAAATTTTGAAGGGTAAAATAGAGCAACAAAATAGTAGCAACAACGTGAATTTCAAATCATTACAGGACGGACACGTGACAAGAAGCTACGTCGAGATTGGATACAACTTCCACAACCATATTGACGAAACGGACCAATCACAAGGCTCGTTCAGGCAGTGGTGACTTACCGAACTTTATGTATGTGATCACACTTTTTCATGTGATCAACTACTGTGATCACAGTGTGATTATGTGTAATCACATGTAAAAGTTTTTACCCGTGATCACGATGTGATAACACACTGTGATCGCATGATAAATAATAAAAAATAATTTTACTGGGGAAAGACCCAGATATAAAGACAGATTGTATACTGTATATATTGTATATCGGTAGGTAATTAGTCGGACTAGCCGAAGGCGGGTCCGACTTTAAATTTACCTTTTAGCCAATCTATCTATCTATGTATTATGTCGCGTTTGGACCACCGGAAGTTAAGAATTTAATAATCAACTATTGGGTTGGCTGCATTATCACATGACCGGAAGCTCAAATGTATAGATGTACGAATATCGTTACTAATTGTAAATGCTACTTGCGCTTTTATGTGATAAAAATACTATTCGTTTACAAATGTGGTATCTGTGATCTCATCAGAATGCATCTGTCTTGGCATCAATAGTACGCGCATGTGCAGATCGCATGGAGCTTCGAGTAGTATGCTTACGAAACTTTCTAGCGTTAGACAGTCTTGTGTAGGCAAATATTTCAAATTAGAACAAGAAGAAACTTTGTTTATCAATAACAAAAAGGCGACTTTGATTATTTTATAGGCATCTTTTACTTTGGTAAGTATTTTTCTTGGCCTGGGAGGTCAATGTGATATCACTTAGCGACACGTTGTCTGCTGAGTTTGATTTTATCAGTCAAAGCAAGATCTCTTTTAAAACGTTCTAACGGTGTTCATTACAGTGACCTTTTAGGTCAAGAAATTTTGCATATTTTTAATTAGACGCTCTTATTAGACCGTGAGTTCAGCTATTTTGGAAAACAATAAGAACTAGACCCTGACAGCAGGGTGTACTCATGCCCTAAAGGTGTTGAAAAGTGCCGGCTATATTCAGTTAAAACTTTTCGACCTTTTCACTTCAGTGTTCGCCTATACGCCCAATCATGTAAATAAATCACGAAGTAATTTGAGATCACATATATTAAGAGTAAAATTTGTGGAACTAACTCTCCTTATTGATTAGTTTTCATGCAATATTTAGCAGCTTTTGAAGGAACTAGATCTACACGGTAAAATCATGCAAGGAATGCAGTGACTAAATGCGTGACTAAAATCGTTCACTCTGATAGTCTTTCATGTGAAACAAAGTAAAAATGTGGATAGACTTATTCTAATTGAAGTAATTTAAAGGTTAAGTATTAAACCACAATATCGTGAAAAGCAGACTGTTTGCGAAGTGTCGGCGATAGTTGGCGCTGTGGCTGGCAACGATGTCAACCATCTCAACAAGATGGTTATCCCGCTCTATAAAACCATGATCGCTTCAATCTTCATCTAGAAATATTCCTGCGTGAATATTAACATTGTTTTCTTAATCCAGAAGAGACAGAATCCCTAATAAAATTGAAAATTTAGACTATGCAACTCAGAATCAGATAGCCACGTTGCGGAATTCACTCAGCTACGAAGTATCGGTTTACATCTCGAGGAAAATGCACTATTTGGCATGATACACCAACCTTTATGACCAAAACCAATGTCATAATATATGCTCTTACACAGATGAATGTTTTGGAATAACAAAAGACCTCGAATATCAAAGAATTATATAAAAGCTACAGTAACCTCCCGAGCAGTTCACTGTTCTATGATACGATTGTTTAAAGCCGAGTTCGTAAAGTGATATTTCGTATAGAGATCGGAGGGCGATCGGGAGACCCGAAGGCAAACTTCTGACTTGGAATATTTACTTCTGACGAGTAAATATATATTAAACTAGACGCATAGCTGCGTGAACTCGGGGTTCTGCTTGAATATATCATAAAACGATGAAGTGACAACAATGAGTGTTGTAGTCGAAGAATTGAGAAGAATTGGACTATATTGAACATTAATAAAGTTAATAGTCATACTATCAAAAGGCGTAAAGCAAAAAAATACTTCCTGGAATAAAAAATAATAAAAAAACAGTGTACTCAGCATAAATATCATGAAAAANGCATTCCTTAGACGAGACCTTAGTAGTTTCAGAGCCTGCATAAGTTCGTATACAGTTCGCTTGTGCTAAGATAGGTAGCTTGTTTGATAGACAATTCTCGATAGACTCGATCTCGATAGACAATAAGATAAATTCTCGATAAATTTACGTTATCTTCTGAAATTCATTTTTCGGAAAAACGCTGGTCATATTTTAGTGTGGCTATGCCACGAAAGTGTGGATATTTTTAAGTGATTTGAGCTTATTTGTAGACGTTGAATTTCTGTCTTCTTCCACCTCGCGTATTACAGTCTCGCCGACTATTCTCGTCGGTTTGCACATGAAGTCATCAGTCGAAAAAAATTCTAAAATCACAGACACACAACATTAAAGTACTACCTTGAAGAACATAATAGAAGTTCTCTCTGAAAGTTTCAACTATTTTTGCTGTTTATTCGTTGAGTTATTAACGTTCAAAAATATGTCACGCAATACTGTCAAGCTACTTGAAACACGCCAAATTAACCTCGGAAAGCCTATAAATCTTAAAACAACTATAGTCTCAGCATTAAATTAAATTTTTAGAATGATATTGTTAGAAAACTGAAGCAAAATCATTACTTTTGAGCTTATTTCGACACTCGGAGTTACTGTCCGCGTGGTTGTGTACTGGATAGTACACCATCAGGGCTTTCCCATACATTCCCTTGTAAAGTAAGACCATATTCAAACGCTTATATTTTTGCTAAAAAATCGCAGTTTGACTTCAAACTTTGCATAATTGTTGGGAATTATATGCTGTTTTTGGCCATGAACATGAAAAATTCATTTAGATCTTAAAACACAGCCTTTTGTAGTTATTTCTTGACCTGTCTAAAAYGCATTGAGCCGTGATAATCCCATACATTCTTACCAATTTTCGTTTGCTCGTATTTCTGTTAAAAAGCATTATTTTGGCTCAAAATTTCGCATTAATACTTTCATTTAGATGTTCTATCGAGGACAATAATAATATTTCGCTAATTTGGTCTCTAAATAACATTTTTAGAATAACACGTGATTATGAGCTTGGGCTACCTGTGGACAATTTGTGACTGATAAGCGACGACAATGAAAAATAAGAAGCCCGAAATTTAAACTCTGGGTTCCACAGGAACCCCGAGTAATAACTGTCTTTCAACAGCTAGTCCGACTTCACGCTCCGAGAGCGTCTAGTTAAAGTTTACTTTGATTTTAGCCAATTTTTTTTAACGATTTGCTAGATATTTTCGTTCAAGAGCTTTAGACTACGTTCACACGGGTCCGGTCAAGTTTGAGGACACCTCGGTTTTAGGACCTCTCCCACTGTTCACACGGAACCGTCCACAGTTCGGTATGGATTGAAAGTGTTCACGCGGATCCGTTCATGCTTCGAAGTGACCTGTCCCCAAAGTGGAACGGCTTTTTAGCCGGCCCCAAACCTGAACACATTGCCACCCTCAGATGTGGCTAGTTCCAGAGTTCCAGTGTGAACACGCGCCTAAACTAGAATGGTTCCGAACGAAACCGGCCCCGTGTGAACGTAGCCTTAGTGGCCTGACAGACAAGCCTTTTGGCCTTTTACTAATTTAAAATATGACATTGGGATATGTTTAACATTATTCAAACAATGCACAACTTGACTTTCTTACTTGATAAGATTGGGGAATTTCTAAGCTGGACATAGAAGGGCACAAGAGACTAAAGTAAACTCACCAGAATCCATGATACGCCCGCCTCGGCAACCTCATGGACGTCTTGCACAAACAACCCACAATGCTTAGCGCTTTTTAAGAAAAATTCCACAGGGATCTTGTGTACGATGTTATCAACCATTTAGAACTTTTGTTCTATTTGGAACAGTCGTATCCTTTGTGAGTGTTCTGACTGAGTTTTACCAGTGGTTTATGTAAATTTCAATTTCTGTTATTTTGTTAATCTGATCTGGGTTGCCTGTTTTGAAAAGAACGAGTCCAAATAATAACTGGATCCAAACAGTTGGTGACGCCTTGTAGAAATTCACTTTGTCACAAACAGTGACGAATGAAGACGTGGGCTAAAAGTAGTGAACGTATACAATGTTTGAGTCATTTTAAATTGTATTTGTTTGAACTTTAAAGATGCCAAACGGCGAAGAGATAGATCGATCTTTCTTTTGTCGCCATTTTACAACTTTTACGAGAGTTCTAGGAGTCGCTACAAGCATTGGTAAGAATTGTGAACAAAATTGTTCTTTCGTTCGATTTCTCCATAGCAGCACTACACCTTTGTGTGCTAGTATTCAATAGACGTCAGGATTGTTTGCACTATTTATAAAGGCTTTCAACATTTTAAATCAACTCAACAACGTGGTGCTTTAACTTTATCATTAATAATTCAGTGAAATGTTGCTGCTCTTTTGATTTTCTTGTCAATCGTAAGTTATAATTTCCAAGATGAATCACTTTTACTAAAGTGGATATCATGAAAGATAATCAACACTAAAATCAGCCTTTAAGAACTCTGATCCCTTTAAAAAATCGCTACTTTATAAAATTACACGGCTTGATCACATCTGGTTGGTTTTACCATTGTTATCTGGTTTTATATAAAAATGTGCTTTTTTGGTCAAATAGATCAACCTGGATCACCTTTGCAACTGAACCAAACCAAAAGCTAGTGTAATATAGCTATTTATAGCTGTTTCTAATAGAAGGTTGAGTGATGCAAGATTAATCAAGCTGGATTTCCTGTGGTTTTATATCATTCTTCTGATCACAGTGTCTCGTCTATTACCACTTATAATTTAACAACAAATTTTCCTCCACTCTCATTAGTGAAGAGTTAACGCAATAGTGCCCGTCATAAGTGCACAGAGTCTGCTGTTTCAGAAATTTTGCTGTTGAATAATAAAAACAATATCTGAGGAGTTAAAGTCATTTTGCTGTGATAGTTGCCATTGGAAACTGGATGCTCTCAAAACTTTAAGATCACGAAACTGAATTCTTTGTTTGTTTTTGGAACATCCAGTTTCTGGTGGCAACTACGTCTGCAGCATAAAATGTCCTTGATTCAACAGTTCCATTGTTTCTATATGATAGGAATCGGGTTTACATGTAGTAATTCACAAGTTTTGAATTGCAACCTTTTTTGAGGTGGTAAATCATCATCAGCGACACAAATATATTTATCAAAATTTAATATGTTTAAAACAATAGCAATTCCAAATTATGGGGAAAGCGATTTAGGTCCTTTGATTGACCTTACTCTTAAATGTTTGATATTTTTATATAACTTACCTTACTAAACAATATAATACAAGTTTTATTTTCCATTTTTGTAACAGAAGGGAGTAAGTAAATAAACAGAAATTAAAAACTTGTATTGAATTATGAGAGCATAGAAACAAGGATTTCAAGGGAATAATAACAAAAAAGCAAACTTCACAAAATTCTTAGGAGGGGATGGCCTGGGTGCTACATGACTGAAAGGCAAAGTATCAAATGATAAATTTTATACTAAAGTGTTTTTTTTTCAGCATTATGGTGGATTGGTATATTACTTACTGACAAAGCAGACAAGAGAATTGCTGTGTATTTATTGTAAGTTTCATTTTTATAAGGCTGTCGAGACTATCATGATAAGGGATACATGTAGAACTTCAATGATTGGAGTGGTCTGATATTGCTGTTAGGCCTCTGTCCTCTGAGCCAAGCAAATTATAATAAAAACATTATTATGATATAATTACACTACAACAGGAAACTGAATTTCCCGTGGGTGTAGTTTAAAAAAAAAATGAAAAATTGACACATTTGATTTTGAACCATGCAATCAGAAAGCAACTTTCTTCAAGAGATCATTTACAAAAACAAAACCACTTCTGTCTCCACATACTTTACTTAAGTTWAATTAAGCTACTATTTATAGGTCCAGTGTGACTGGTATTAATCCTGGTTTAACTCTTAAAACATTTATTAGAGTCAATTTCGTATGAGTGGGAAACGGAGGGTACTGTATCGTAATCGTACTGTAACCAAATTATAGTGTCTCATTGCTTCAAAAAAATTGTGCAGGCCAGGTCCGGTAACTGTGCAGTAACCGTGCCGTAATTTCTACTGTACGTTTCCCACTCATACGAAATTGACTCTATAAGGAGTTAACCATTGATAATAATTAACACTAATCAGGCTTTGAACTACCCAAGCCAAATGTGTACTAGTGCCAATACACTTATTCCATGAAACTCAAAAAGTACAAAATAACACCTTGGTAACTTTGTTTCTAGTCTGATAACAGGTATTCTTGCTGTGGGGTCGAGAAGGAATGGGAAGGAGAAGCAGAAAGGAACGCTTGCTGGAGGCTATTGTTTGTTTGAAATACACCCCGTTCCCTTCTGTTCTTCCTCCCCATTCCTTCTTGGTCCACCAGCAGAAATGTCTGTTAACAGGCTACTTTGTTTCCTATTGTTATTTAAACAACACTTTTTAATATATAGTAATTAGTACTAGTTTTAAGTGTGTCTACTTGATTGCAATCTTTGAATCTAAAATAATATGTATATTTTGTATTTTTTGTCCATTTTCAGAATCTGTGCTTTTGTGGTATCATTTCTTGAAGTTATATTTATACTTGACAGATGTGCAATATGCAAGTAAGTAGAATTATAGAAAAAATGTATAGAGGGCATTACAAGGRCATTTGGAGATATGGAATTTAACTCTCTTTTGATTTCACAAGTGAGCAAGGACAATGAGTGAGTGAGATATTTTAACACAAGAAGATAAAATCTGTATCTCCAAGAACCCATGTAATATTCTGTTTATTTTATAAACTCCTTTTTTTATCATTTTGTAAGACATAGAATAGACAATTTGTATGGAGCATTTATGTACCGTATATTTCAACATTGTGAACAAATTAATGATGAAATCTGAGTCACTTCTTCACTCAAGAAATTACCTGGTATTTCATTGAAGGGGTATCAAATGGTAAAATCCAAGCCTGGCCGAGCCTTTTGTTTTAAAATCCAAGCCTGAGCCTTTGACTGAACAAGTCYAATATTTCAGCAATTGCGAGCTTTCAAGCCAAAAGCGATTTTTTAAGTGTTGAGCTTGCGAGCCTTGGGAATTTYTGCAGAGCCTCATGATTTCTGAGACACCATTCTATACCMCTCATTGAAGTTTAATATATGAATATATTTCTTTCGAAAAATGAAATACAATCAAATGTTCTCCAGTACATGGCTAAATTAACAGTGATTTTTAAACTTTGATACACCACATCAAATGCACTACCAGAGTCTAATGAAACTCTGTTATTATYCAGGGAAGGACATTTTGGCTTCACACTGTGGAACTTTCTTAAAGCAATTGACACATGGAAGAAGTTTGTGCTATATGGCTCGTTATCAATAGTATGTTACCTGCATCCAAAGGAATTCTGGGAGGCAGTTATTATTGGAGTGTTTCTTGATGTCTTAGCTATTTTCTATTTAATGCATACATTCAGAAAGAAGAATGAGAGAGCTGTTTATAGGTATAGACAATTAGAAATCAAATAGACTCACAAAAATTAAACTGGTACACTTATTTATATATCGACAAATGTTGGTTAGAAAAAGGATTTATTAATACAATGGCATATGTACATCTAATATGCAGTCATCATTGGGTCTTTCCAAATTTGAGCTGCTTATAGAGGTTTTCTACTAAATAAAGGGTACTAAATAGGGGGTGATTTAGAGAGTTGGAGCTTTTTAAGTACATGTATCTGTAGTATTTGATGGAAGGTGAGTGCCAGTCCAGTCAAACCATTGCCTATGAGGTATACTGAACTTCCTTTAACTTCCTTATAAGAGTGTGTAAAAATAATGTAGGGCAGGTTATAAAAAAATGCTTGATGGTGACCACTGAAATAGAGGTACCATTCTACTCCATTTTACATTTCCYATCGTAGCCAAGCCTAACCTATAACTTTGCATCAAAGTGAGGTAGTAGTTGAACTTGGAGTGATAGATGTTTTTTTTGTTGTTTGTTCGACACTGTTCTGACATTGCAAGCTCAACCACAATCTGCCATGACCTGTGTATAAGTGAGAGATTTGGAGGGATTTCCAGGACTGGCCTATGGTATTGGTATGGTATGTCTTATTGGAGCTGCACTGGAGATCTTGGGACTGCACCATGAGGACAGGGGATACAATAGGCCAGTCCTGGACATGTGTGATGTTGGAACGATAAGTAAATAATATACAATATTTGCAGAGAGTCTGAATGAGGTGACCTACTGTTTTAAATTATCATACAAATGATTGGTAATAATGAACATTATATATTATCTATAGCATAAATAGTTTGTATAGCATCAGTTAWTTCTTTTGGAGAATCAAAAAGCCATGCATTTATTCATTGACGCAACTGGAAAGTTTTGTACCACATTCATACAAGCAAACAGAATGAAGAAATAATTGTGCCACCAATAGTAAAAAATATAGAAATAACAAACTCCAACTAATCAGAAACTTATTTGTTGGAACATTACGTACTTATTTATGATGATAACTTTGACTGAAAGGAGTAGAAAAAGCAATGAAAATATGCAAAGCATTCTGGTAGTGCTAAATCATAGAAACTAAAAAAAAGTATAATTGTATACTTTGAAAATAGTCTGGGTTGATGAGTTTAAGTATGCAATAATGAGTTTAAATCCAATCAAYTAACATCTTTTTCAATAAAAAAAGGATTTAAATTTCAATAAAACCAATCTTCGAATATAACTATTTATAAATAAATACAAAACCACCATTGTATCAGAACTACCATTTATAGATGGTTATCATTAGTATGGGTTTACATGCTGTAATTTTATTTAATTTTAATAGGAAAAAATGATTATGATTATGATATTATTTATTTATTAGAACAAAATTATATATTGTTGATTAAAAGAGAGTAATGAATAAAATTCTATAAATAATTTTTCACAGTTGTTTTTTTTATTTTATCCATGATATCCAGAACACTTCTTTTGMTCAGGGTCAGGGTTTTYATTTCAATGCAAACCYAAGCACAACCCGAGCAGACAACTATCATGTGAAAGTTTTCAGAACGACCAAGCACTTGCAAAGTCGATCAACATTTTCATTGGTCAAAACATCCCATAAATTTCGTCTGCGCTTCGTTTTACTACTTTAAAAAGGGCTACTTGGACGAAAATTGCGAAACATTAGAAATAGACCTATCCATATGGGTCTAATAATCACGAAGCAACAGATTTCAAGGAGATATTGATACAAATCTTTAATAATTTGGGCAAAAAAATGTTGGAGTAGATGACGTCATTTACTCCATCCTTTTGTTTTTCCATCTTTTGAATCAAAATTTCTCTGATGTGGGATAATTCCCAAACAAATATTTTTTTCCGCAATTGTTCTTAATAGATATATGTGAGTCATATATTTGTATTTCTTCAAGTTTTGAAATAAGGCCATTTTCATGCAAGTAGCACTTTAACAGAGAAAAAAAGACAACTTCACGGTTTATGCGCCTTGCGCACTTGCGCCTAACTTTGAGTTCGTTTGGTAGGTGTAGGTACATACGCACGTGCCGACCATAAAATACACGTCAAAAGTGAGGTCGAAGCTTTATAAATGGTCTGTAATTCAAGAAAATCGACATACTGTAAAAAAACAATTGCACTTTCGACCAAATTGTAACGGTGTGAATAAAATTTAGTTCATTGTAAGATGGATTTGTTGCCGCTTAAGACTTCAAATAAGACTTCCTAAAGTGCGCACTTGGTCTATTGTGTCCAGCCACTATAAGAAATGGTGCGTGCCTTTAAACAACTCGTAGTTATGCTGCGTCGTTTTGCTTTAGCTTTCCAAGTCATGGCAACTCTTACCATTTGCCCTATGTAAGAGAATCCAGAGAAGTAGAGGATTCCGGATTCCAAGCGCTGCATTCCGGACTCCGAAACACCGGGGTGGGGAGGGGGGGAGACTCCCTTGTAAAAGTTGGTAGATATGCTCGACGGAGGGATTGAAAAAGGACCTAAAAGGTACGCACAAATTAATTCAGGTATCGATTCCAGGTATGGAGTCAACTCAGGACCCTAAAAGGTACGCGAGGGTTTTTAATATTTTCGACCCTGAAAGGTCCGTCGAGCATAACTACCAACTTTTATAAGGGAGGTCCCCCCCCCTCCCCTCCCCTGGGTCCGAAACATTGGACTCCAAGTCTTGAGATTCCGGATTCCAAATAATTTTTCTTTGGGATTTCAAAATCTTTGATCGATTCCGGATTTCAAATACAGTATTTGGATTTCGGATTCTAGGATATGGATTCTCTTACATGGGGCGATACCATCTTCTTAGAACGCGTGTCACACCCCCACCCAACCCCCCTTTTCCTCGGCTTTATTGAAAAGTGATTCCTGCATGTGCTTTTCCTATTTTGCATTTACGCAGAGACTCGTGGTTTGTCATTGTATATGCGTAAAACACTATTACGCTTCGTTGATATGTAATTAGCTATCTAA